AAGACAAGCAGATATGAAATGGACTGTGTTCTACCTCCATCCAGAAACTGTTCCTTGAAGTAAACCGTAGCGTCGATAGTTAGCGCTAACGATGCCAAAACTACAGTAATTACCACCGGAAACTTCATGATGCTAGCTGCAGTCTGGTAGCAGGTGGTGAAACGATGAGATTGAAAGTCCGATGAAGGAAACGTAAGCTGAGAAATCTAACAGCGTTGAATCCCACACAGATGGCCCTGGTTCATTGGACGAGCGTTTCACCAATGGAAACAGACCACGGTTTATTTTTCGGGAATGCTCGTGTTCGATCGGAAGGAGATCGGAGGAGGCGCCTGCTTTCCTGCAGTTTTTAGCCAGGGACGATGAAAATGAAAATGTGGGTGTCCGATGGAAGAAGGAAGGCTTAAAACGTCGGTTACGTTATGAAAATATATTTGACTTATGAATGATTAACAGTTGTTTTGGAAGAAGCTACGAGCGAGTTCAAAGCAGGCTTTAAAGGCCTCCGTCTGTGTGCCCTGTGCAGTGATCAGCAGGCACGAGACCGGTTACACCCATCACTAAGCACGGGGTGATGCCGGTGTCGTTCAGGTTAATTAAATTTGTTTACATATTCCACTCTCCCGCTGGCTTTTCTGTAATATAAATAACAAGCCGACATTTTCCTTGCTACACCACCGATCAGCTTTAGTTTACCTGCAGTGCTGCAGGATAGTCTAGCCTCCCATTAAACCCATAACTACAATACTGTGTGATCTTGAGCCACCCATCATCTCTTTTGTCCCACATTTGCTAGGAAAATCGGGAATAGTTGCCATAGTCAAAGTTTTCAGTCACGTGATCGATTTGCTACCCTGGGTGGTATCATGGTGCCCAACAGTGGACAGTCACTGTTACTTAAGAAAAAAGTGTTGTTTTTTCCACCTGTCTCGAGCCGAAACCACTTGGATCATGTATCATAAAGGAAAAACGAAGATATGACGAGAAACTACTTGTGATCCATATTTTGCCCTAGCAGCTTTATTTAAATCCCAGAAAGTGGAGATATCTACGTCTGAGAACCGCTCATCTTACACTGCTGCCAGGATGGAAGATTTCAAAATACAGACCAATGACTGTAGAAAACTTTTCTTTCTTGTAATTTCTTGAAATAGTCTTCAGGAATAGTTCTCTTGAAGCTTCTTGAAGGACATTCCAAAGATCTTCTTTGGATGTTGGCTGTCTTTTGTCCTGTTCTCTGTCAAGATAACCCAAAACTGCTTAAGTAATTATAAGGTCTGGGCTGTGGTAAAGCAAATCAATGTTGCATTTACCCAGGTGTAACCCTAACTCTAAACCTAACCCATTGTCAGTGTATTTGGGATCACTGTCATGGTGAAAAACTCGACCAATGTGATGCTTTCTAGATGCTGGACCAAATGCTAAAGGGACCTTTCTGTGATCATAATTTCATACATTTTGAAAGGAATAAAAGAATGAATAATAAATAATATAATAATAAACAAATAATGGGAAGACTGAAAACAGACAAGCTAAATAATAATGCACTGGTTACCTTTATAGTTTTAGGCTGACTCTACAAAAACCAGAAAGACCCATTATCAGTGTATCACATAATAGACGCAGAATAATACCAGGTCAGTGTTATCAGAAGGGATGAGTAAGGAAAAGTGTGAATGTTTTTGCTACAGGGAGCACATGCATTTTTGTAGTTGAGTGTGGAGCTAATAAAGTTCAATTCAATTCATTTATAATTTGAAATTTTCATTTTAAATGTCCTTTATACTTTAAAGCATTTTGCAGCAGCCTTTAGCTGATTTAACATTGTACCATTTTAATTGAACTGAAGGCTTTTCCAAAAGTTTTTAGGACAGCCCAATAATAACAAATTACAATAGTCCAGCCTATAAGTAGTAAATGCATGAACTGGCTTTTCAGCATCACTCTGAGACAGGATGTTTCTGATTTTAGAGCTCTTGTGCAAATGCAAGAAATCAGTCCTTCATATTTACCTAATATGCACATTAAAGGACATATCATGGTGAGAAATGAATACAAGAATTCTCACAGTGTTACTGAAGGCCAAGGTAATGTCATCCAGAATACGTATGATCAGACACCATGTTTTTAAGCTTTTTCAAACTGAGTGCAAGAACCTCAGTTTTAGAAGGTGGAAATTACAGGTGATCCAGCTCTTTATGTCTTTAAGACATTTCTGCAGTTTAACTAATCGGCTTCATGGATAGATTAAGCTGGGTGTCAACTACATAGCAATGAAAGTGTATTGTGTGCCTTCGAATGATACTACCTAAGGGAAGCATGTATAATGTAAACAGAATTAGTCCAAGCATGGAATCGTGTGGAACTGATAATTATCCTTTGTGCATGAAGACAACTTCCCATGTACATGGATATATTGGAGTCTATTAGCTATGACTGAAGCTACTGCACCTTTAATTCCTACGACATGCTCTAATCCCTGTAACAAAATATTGTGTTCACCTGTATGCAGTATCGCACTGAGGTCCAGCAGGCCTCCCTAGACATGAGCCAACTGTGTGAGGCCATTAGTAACCTTCACTATCGCTGTTTCTGTACTGTGATGAGTTCTGAAACAGGACTGAAATGCTTCAAATAAATTATTTATCTGCAAATGGTTTTTTAGCTGTTTTACAACTGTTCTTTCAAGAATTTTAGAGATAAAAGGAAGATTGGAGATTTGCCTTTAAATTAGCTAAGTGTGGTGGGTTGTGGTTTGTGGCTTAGCTGTAGGGGATGGGTGGAGCAGGGTGTGGTGTCAGGGAAGGCTGACCCACACAGCTGACCTTCATAATCTAATCATGCCTTCCCTTTTGTGAGTAGACGCACGTTGGCATGGACCTGGAGAAGGGTGCTGTAAGCAGGATGCAGGGGTGGGGCCAGCCGAGAAAGCCAGACGCTGTGGCTTGTGGAAATTGAAAACTCCTGAGGACAATTTTTGTCAAATGTTTTTGTAAAAGTAAATAAACTGTCATTATCACAGCTCTCTGCCTGAGTGGGTCCTTCATGCTAAAGTGTTGTCTAAAACCTGGTCTGTGTGATTACAGACTGGTGGACGGCATTACCAGTGGAGGTGCTAGCCCAGATGATGGTGGATCATCCCTGTGATCCGCTGCAGTAGTGGCCGGCAGATCCATCTAATCCTACTCTCTCTTCTGTTTCTCCACAGGTCCCAGAGGTTAGAGATGGTATACCCAAAAAAAAAAAATAATGCCTGCGGATGAAGATGGGACAGGTGCTCCATGTTCCCGGCCCTACAACACTCTCCCTTAGCTTGAGAGGGATGTACCTGCATACCAGTAAGGTTCCAAGGGCCTGGGTCCACCGTAGCCTGGTGGACCCAGGCCACACAGAGACCCTGGTCCATCAAACCCTGGTTCGGCTCGGGCGTAGTTGGAGGCAGAGTGGGTGGAGGTTAGTTGTGTGCATGGGGGTTGTGCATGAAAGGAAAAATCATCCAAACTATAAATTGTTAGGCAGCAAAGGAATGCCATCCTTGAAATGAAACCGCCCCAAAAACTCTGTTGGAACCGGTTTCTCCACACAACAGTGATATGATGTACGTTTTGGCGTCCATAGATGCAAAAACTTTCCAGCTTTAAAACATGCCTCGCTGGAACTCCTTCATAAAGACTTTCTGGCGCTGCATGAGTCTGAGGAGTTCAGCCAGCAGCAGGTGGAAACACCCGTTGCTGAAAACGTGGCCCTCAGAGAGTTGGTGAAATCCTTCACTGAATGAATGACCTGGCTCTCAGAAGAAAACTGTTGTGCTTCAGGCCCGCAGCATGAGGGACAACGTTCTGTTTTCAGGCTTCTCAGAGACATTTCATCCACATTCACCTGAAACTGATAATGTGGTTTAAACAATCAGCTTTCATCATGCCCATTTTTGGGAGGGTAAATGAAGTGATGGATGCAGACCCAAAACAATTTTGAATATTTTAAAGAAGAAGAGGCGGTGAAGAGCTGAGGCCAAAAGGGCTGCAGACACCCCAGATCTATTGGGTCTGGGGCCGTCTGCCTCTAGCTCCTTGGGGGCCTTGTTCCAGTCTCTCATCCTCAAGTACGTTTCATGACGAACGCTCATACAAAGACACACACATTCTCACTCTTTCCCACATATGCACACACACAAATCACAGCAAAATTGTATGTTTGTTTGTGTACCTAACTTTGTTTTGTTCAGTTGTTGTGTGTTTCTCTTTGTGTGTTCTGTTGCAGATGCAACAGTTACATCCTAGACTTTTGCCACTCTCGTCTTTCTGACCCTTTTATATTCCTCTGCCACTTTCTCCTGTCTTTCTACAACCTGGCTCTCACCCCCTTTCCTCTACCACATATTATCCTCTCTAATAATAACATGAAATAAAATAAACCAAATGAGCAAATGCTGATGTGTTAACAGGAGCATAGAAACTCTTTACAATGGAAAAATCTAGGAAGCGGGTCTAGGCAGCAAATGCTCTGAATGTCCACTTAGGGTTAAAAACGGCATGCACAGATAGATGTCTGCTGTCTTTGTGAAGACACCAAATACATTTCTTATCCTGTTAGCACAACTGCAACAATAAAAACTGGTCACAAAACCATAAAAAAACAATCTCAATTGTCAGCCAGCCTTAAACCCAATTTTAAACCTAGTCTAAGGCATCCACCAGAGGTTCTCTTGTAAGTACAGGATTTAGTTCAGCAGTTTAACGGTCCAAATAGTACCTAATAATAACCTACTGTCAGTATATGTCTAGACAGGCATATTTGACATTGATTTCAGATCAGTGAGTGATTATGATGAACTGCTTTGATGGGTGTGTTTTTCAAATTGTTGATCATTTGCATCTGTAAATATTCCTCAGGTCGGTGAAACACCACAAAGACAAAGGAGATGATCGTGGACTTTAGGAGGCACAGAGTAGACCTGCCTCCCCTCCACATAAAGCTGTGGAAAGCATTGTGGTACTAAAAGCAGATGCTATCAGAAATTTTATATATATTTTTCCTCTTGTGCTTTTGTTGATAGGTGTGTCATTAGGGACGGTTTCCAGATGTCCCTCGGTAAAACTTGAGATCTTGCCGTTCAAATTTTCTGGTTGTGATTTTACATGAGCTTCGTATTGTGGGATAACAGTGTAGTAAACTGCTGTCATGTTACAACAGCTGACATAAGATCACCCAGGCTGCAGTATAGTGCTTGTTGACGGTGGACTTCCCAACTGCATAAAACGTTTCTCCAGTCACTGGGACCCTACATCGTTGGCGAGAAGCTTTTATGCTGAAAGTAATGGTCGGATGTGTTGTACCTTAATTTTGGCGGCTTGATAGAAGTCTGGAACGGATGACCGACTCGGTGACGGTAACCGCAATTTAGGCAACATGGGAGATGTTGTGGGATTTATCTTGAACGGATTTTAAAAACCGTCGGGAAAATGGCCGAGAGGTAAGTCCAGCAACACTCGCACTGTTTTGCTTGTTGAGGGGAAAAACGAGCACGAACCAAGGGAGGCAGCCAGCCCAGAGATGAGACTAGCAGCCGCGGTTCGCTTGGTGGCTGTGCTTACTAGCTAGTTCGCCACGTATTCGCTCCCACGATTCAAGGATTTCCACGCAGAACATATGTGCGAATTTGGTGTCTTTCCCTGTCATCTCCCTCGGTTGTTAGTTATTCGCCGGGGTGGTTGTATCTGGATATTTGTCAGCGTGGAAGGAGCGATGCGTGGAGGCTAGATGATGATGCTGTTGCACCTGTCGGTCTAAATTCCCATCTCTTTGCTGGAATGCTGCTAACCTGCTTTCATAAGTAGATGCTGACAGGAAATGCACCTTATCACTTCGAGAGGAGGCTCGAATAGAGAAATCCTGCTTTGCAGCATCTCGTCCTTGTGATGGATCGAGGCGACTCCCATGGCGCGGCACTAGAATTAGAGGTGCATGGCCCAATCACAGTCAGATCTACATACATGTCTCCTTATTCACTAGCCTATAATTATGAAGAACAACAAACAAACAAACAAAATAGTTTCTCAGCTCAGTTAATGAGTGGTTAACTCTCGAGCGTAGAGAAACCGCAACACCAAATTCCGCCAAATCCCAACACATCAATGTTTTTTATAACACAGGCGTGAACAGCTTTTTCTCATTTAGTAGTTCTGCGTGGGAGGTTCGGTGTTCCTATAATGAATTAACCACATTGAGGAAAATCGCACCCCTCTGTTCGCCATGATCTTCCATGATCAGTGCAGGGAGGTGGGAAATTAACGACAGGAATCCAGCTGGATCAGGACTTGTTTGGTGTATGTGCAAATCCTCCTGTTTCCTCCATGCGCCTATTTAATAGTATTTTCTTTAATGAGGCCGAACAGGTTCTTATGCTGTTCATGCAAATCTGTTTTTCCTGATATAAACAAAACAGGCTGAATTTGAATAGAGTGTAGAGTCGACGTGAATCCAGCCTCCCAGGCCGGTGTTCTTCAGCTGCCAACATCAAAAATATGGACGTGTTTTTATCACGCTGATTGCCTTGAAAGTCAGGGTGTGGAACACATCGTGGCAGTTTGTCCCCAGAACTTAACAAGCTCATGTGGGTGTGTTAATAAATGAAGGCTGGGAATATCCAGGGGTCATTTAGCCTCGTGCAAATCATTACTGCAGGTCAGTCCATTCAGATTATTGATTTGTTCAAAAAGGGTCATTTTAAACAAATCTGTATTCACGGGTACAGTGATAATTGAAAGGTTTGAGATAAGTAGTTCTGGACTCAAATGCAGTTGTTCTTGTTGTTTGGATCAAAAGCATCAGAATCTTAGCCCGCTTTACACCACCTTCTTCTCGCCACCCTGATTGTGTGAGTTTTTATGTTTCATATATTACTTTCACAGAGAACCAAGTCAAAAGAAAACTCGCATATCTGCTTTATTTGCTGTATTAGCCAGTGATGATTGGATGGTGTAGTTAAAGGTTGAGGATAAGAAGTAAAAGTAATGCAAACTAAGAATTGCTGCCGCAGTCTTGTAGAAGTTAAACTGGTACCTGTGGCTCAGGTGGTAGCGCGGGTTGTCCACCAGTTGGAAGGTGGATAAATTGATCTCATGCTCCTTGAGTTCTTAAGTAGGGATTTGAGAGCCAGTGTTCCCAGCAGCTCACTTCCTTGGAATTGTTAGTCTGCTTACCTATTGATCCTGCTTATTGGTTCCACTTGCACTACAATCAGCTGATTTCAGTTTGTGTGCAGTAGAGCAGTGTACAGCAGGGATATGGACTGAACTTTTATTTCTACTGCATAGAATGATGAGAGCCCAGTTGTAAAGTGCAAACTGGATCCAAGACAGAAACGGCTGCGTTATGGTGCTAACACAACTTTGCCTCTTTGCAAGTGCCTGCACAGACAGCATGCTAACACTAAGCTAGCAAGAACCCAGAGGTATGTTAAAGCTGAGTGACTGCTGACCCGACCACAGCAGCCAGACCCTGAACTTTAACTGGTAACAAAAGCAGCGATGAACAGTCAAGCTGCAGCCTCCGTTTCTACCATTTCATGTTTCTAAAGCAGAATCACTGTGGACGTCGCTTTGAAGACTCTTTGGGCTGGTTTTTATCTTTGCTTCATCTTGTCGGCTTTGTGTTTATACCTAAACGCTAAGAAAAAGATCATATGTGTGTGCTCATTAAGATGGGGATTTGTTTTGCTGTGTGGAACTGTAACCTAAAGGTTTAAATTGTTAACTAGTAATTGTGTTATGGAGCAACTCAATGTAACGTAACGAGTTGAATAATGAATTACTTTCAACTGGGAGTAATTAAGTAATGTACTGCTTTACTTTGAATAAAAGTGTTACTTTTTTGACTCCAACACTGATGACCATTGATGTCTTTAAGAGCGCAATGAGAATCAATAAGGAATTGAATCAATAAGTGATATTGATCA